TCGATAATCAATCAATTAATCAATATTCTATCATATTTGAAAGTTCGGATTTCACTTAGCTGACAGGCTTCATTTATCTACTTAATTTACGACCACACACACTCAAGTAATCAGGTTTTTTATATATAAAACATGCACTACTAAAAACACCCCGACTACAGAATTGATAGCAGTTAATAAGTGTGTGGATGCTTTTGCGATGTAGAACAGAAACAAACAGAGCCTGATAAAGAATCTACATGCAGGGAAGAGTATGACAATAAGTGATGAAGAGGAAATGGTCAGCCACCAATGATTCTCAGCTGTGCGAAAGGAAGGAAGCCAAAGTGAGAAAGCGACAAAGGCATTGATGTTCATTCTGTGTAAACCTATAAATGTCTACTTGAAGTAAGAACATTTTAAAACGAAAGCACACATCAAAGTGACTCTCAAGGGGGCTTATTAGAAGTGTACTGAGTTCCTGTAACTCAGAAACTCTGCAGTCTCGTGATGTTAAATGACAAAGGTCTTATCTCTTTAAAAAACATTGTGGGTAACATAACAGTGTGTACTGCAGCACTCCAGTTGAACATTTTATATTATGTCTATATTGTCTTTCTGTATCACGGTTGTGCATGAAGAATCGTAGTGAACAGTACGTATGTAAACCTAAAGAAATAACTTGGATTTTTCTAAACTAAATATAAACAGTACAAAGGTCATAATAAAGGGAAGTGAACCATCACCTACAGCACAGCATGGCAAGAAGGTTTGGGGTGCTACAAATCGCATGCTGGGTGGGTGCAATTCTTGCTAATTGTTTAGCACTGGCACCTTTGGTGAGACAGTGGGTATGAACTTGTGAATTCAACTGAACCCGTATGATGGAGAGATTTCGTGGAGTTAGTGTGTTTTCGTTCATTTTCTCAGATGTAAGCTACCTCCAATTTAACCAAGTTGTAAATGTTTATATTGGATACAATACAATTCAAAACTATATGTTACTGCATATAAATGCAACACAGCGTGACTCAATAAAATAAGATATTTAATGGAATTCCAGTGTTTTTACATCATTGTGCCATAAAATAATAAAATATATAAAAGTGAGTCTGCACTCGGTTTGGACCAAGTCGACCCAACAATCAACTAGACAATAGCAGTAGGAAGTTTGTTTCTTAGCACATTTCAGATACAGGCACAATTCAGTTTTCCTTACATAAAGAAAAGTAGAAACGTGCGTCAATATAAAAGGTATAATTAAAACAAAGTACAAAGTAGTAAAATGTAATAAAACAGAGACTTTTATTATACAAAGAATAACTATTAAATAAAGAAAATACAAAGTAAATAAAACCCAGTGAAAATAACCTTGGCTGTTTGTTTATCTTTTTTGGAACACCAAGTAGAACAAAAGGTAGCTATAACTACAGCTAAAAGTAGCCTGCAGAATTTCCCCTTCAGTAGCTGTTATCTGCAATCCAAACATTTTGATAACTCCATTTCTGTCTACACATAACTAAATCTTGTAATGTGAATGCACAAAGACAGGGTATCTGCATTTTTAGATATAATGTTGGTTAATGTTTCACAAAAATACAAATGACATGAAAGAGATATAAAGTTAGTGTGAGGGTGTAGTAGAAACCCTCAATGACCTATATAAAAAACAAACCCAAAAGACATACAAAATGTAAAATCACCAGTACAATTTAAATATAGCGCTAAAAAACACAAATGTAATAATTTAATATCATACAAATAAAAGGTGACAAAGCATGAGTAATTTCTTTATTTACAGTATGACTAAAAAATATGTCTTTTCTTTTTTTAAATGAAAGGCTTTTGGCAGCATTTGTATGCCTCTTCTCTACATAGACACGTACACAGAGGAATTTATCAGATTTTTATTCAACAACATTTTTATAGAAACTTTCCATGAAGATGAACATTCTTAGCCTTTCTCAATGGATATACATTACAGTATATGGATTTGTGAATTCCAAAACTAAAATGTTAATCTTTCTAATGAGGCTTTAAAAGCTTTGCAATTTTGCAACCCAATTCTTCAGTCTTAATTTGAAAAGGCTTTGTATGTTAATGAAATACTAGTTTTAAAGGCTGGATGTATGTGATCACTGCTTTTTTGATGATAATCTTAAATGGGGATTCACAGTCTACCCTCCCTTTACTGTATATCTACAGCCTAATCAGGTCATTGACCTTACATCACTGTGTTTTTCTCGCAGGATGCCAGAAAACATGCTGCATGAGCGCTACATATCCTGCCCGACTCGAGCAGTTCCTCAAAGACCGACTCAAAGATACACAAACTCAGCACCTCCAGTACCTCGTCGCCTGCGGTGATCAACACATGTCCACTTTAGCTGGGTTTAATTTAAAGTATTTTAGGAAGGAGGGAGGAGTTAGCAAGACAGCGTGTTCCTCTGTAAACAGACATCAGGACTTAAATAGATGCCTACATGCAGTGAGACTTCTTTTATGTTTTGTCTTTTTTTTTGCCTATTAAATGTTGTATCAAAGTGCCTAACATAATAATTCAGCCCCCATATTGTTTCATTGTGTGCGCATGTGTATTTGTGGTTGTGATTGAGTCTGTGATATTGAGTGCATATGTAAGTGTTTTTACCGAATAATTGTTTGGCTCTGGTAACCCTGGAATTTTAGTATGTTGGTGAAAAAAGGGAAATAATTGGTTTTAATTCAAATCTTAATTATGATATTTTAACATGGTTTGTAGTTGGTCTTCTGTTAACAGAGCCAGTGACGTTAATGTTGTTCAGTTCACAAGATAATTATGATATTCCTTTATGTATTATAAGCATTTAATTGAACGTTTTTTTGACTTTTTTATCTTTTTATTGCACCTTAAATGATGTAATAATTATACTTCTTAAATGACTTACAGGTTGGTTAGGTATCTGTATATTTCTTTCTGAAACTCTGAGAAATGTTCTCAAGGAAACCAGTTTTGCTTTACATCACTCTATGTAATTTTTGTTCATAATAAATATTATAAAATTGCAATTTGTGCAATACTGCAATTTCAAGTTTGGTCACTTGATGGCGCTCCATGTTCTCTTTTGGGCGCTCCATGTTCTCTTTTTGGATGCTACTTTCTGTGTTGGTGAAACACTTTTTCAAGTTGATTGAATCCATTAAGCATGCAGCCGTTAAATGAATTTACAAATGACTTCACTCTTGTGAATATAAATGAAACCTGACATTTGAAATGCCCTCTGAAATGCTTTGGGAGAAAATAAAAAGTCTGAGACTGGTCATTTTTTTCAGAATAAAATCTTTACTTACAAAAATCATCAGAGTTAGTACGTGATTGGTTGTTAGACCTCATACTGTACACATTCTCATTCGACAAAGAGATATGGAGCAAATCCAGTGTTCATAATGAGAAATACAACATAGGCTTACTTAACTGGAGTTTATGTGATACAAATGTATTAGTCAGACTCATAAATAATATTGTACAGATGGAATCCAGCGAAATGTTTTGGGATGGTTGTTATTAAGCACCTGTTTTGACCACAATTGGCAAAATGCATTCAAGAGAAGTTTTTGATAATCGTACTAGGCCTATTTTGGCACCCAGTCAATTATCTATATATATGCAAACATTTATATCGAATTTTATATCCACAAGATAAAACCCTACAACTGAGGCTTAAGCACCCTTAAAGGTCCCATGTCAAGGCCATTTCTACTGATCATAATTCCATTGTTGGGGTATACTAAAATAGATTTATATTGTGCAATTTTCCAAACTTGGTTTCTCATACAGCATCTCTGTATAGTATGTGTATTCACTCTGTCCTAAACGGCTTGTTTGAGCTCCCTGTGTGAGCCCAGTGGCCGTCTTGCGAGACAGCGAGACACAGCTAAACCCAGCCTGAAATACAAACACACCCGCAGCCTGGCTGGGAGTTTGTGTGTGTGCTCAGGCTGAGTTCCGCGGTGGCTCGCTGACCCCACACTAGTGAGCCCGTTCACACTGTCCCGCGCCTCGCAACGTCCCGCCGAGTGTGTGTGTGTGAGGAGTCCGCGGATTGGTCCAAACATAACAGCTCCGCGGACATAACGTAACGGGTCCGCAGATTGGTCAAAATGGACCAATCCGCGGTTACGTCACTATACCCAATTACATCACTATACCCAAGAAGTAAACAATGGAAAAATAAAAATCTCCAATGAGGCGTTCTGGGGCAGCATAGACAGGTCTTTTCTGTGTTAGAGTTTTACTAGCTACAGGGTATACTTTGAGGGTGTGTGACTCTGCAGATCGTTTACATGCATAACAAGCTACATAACACACAAGGGGACAGGTAATAACCAGAAAAGCATGACATGGGACCTTTAAATTCATGGGCCTGAACCGCCTGAACTCTATTGTTTAGGTTCATTACATGCTCACACTGCTCCTATGAACCCTGTTTCCCGCCTCAACGGTTAGCTTTTTTAGCCAAAAAGCTGTAAAACGACCAGAACACGTGTTGGTTAGCTAACCTGGCACAACAAACCTATAGACAGACCAAGTTAACCAGCCAGTGAACATGGCGCAACATGTAGCTGCTAAAGACACCGTTATTATATTCACAGCGCTGGACAGCGCCGAAAAACAAGCTTTAAGGAGAGTAAATATTGAACTTAAATTCATGAAATGGTCTGAAACAGGAAACCCCAATGAATGCTAATAATGCTAGTGTTTCCTGGACGTTTTCAGCTAACTGTTTGCTAACCATGAACTTTATAGTTAAGGTAATATGTCAGTGTTGTTCAGCTGCTTCGAAGTAGCCAACATATATAAACGGGTAAGTTGTTTAAAGACAAAACATGATAATGTAACTACATGTATTTCGGTTTTATTCTGAAATGACTGAGTCCAGGCTTTTACTGTGAAGGGACGGCGGCCCAGCCCCCGGTGCTCGGTGCTGGTGTTGTGCGGCGGTATTGACGCAGCTGAGGCCGATGAGGGTGAAGCGCTGACAGGACACTGGTGGAGAGCAGCCGTCGGCGCACACAGCTCAGTGAAGTGTGTCTGCAGCAGCCAGCATAACACTGGATTACCATCACACAGAGGTAAGCATGTTCCTGCTCCGCATCACTGATGCAGGGGTTCTTTAATGTTTCCTCGAAATCTATTATTTTAATTTGTAATATATTTTACCAGGGCTCCAGAACAGCTGACTATGTTTTTTTTTTATTAGCATATGATGCAAAACCAACACCACCTAATTTAGTTATTAGTTGTTATTTGAAATGTGGATTCAGCAGATTTGATCAAACACAAGTGCGTATATGAGTTTTGATATAGCATCTGATCACAGAGCTCTGGCTTTGGGACAGTTGCTGCAGTACAGGCTGATCCATACAGTGGGAATGCGACCCGCCATGGGTGCCGCACTCCGGATGAATGCCCAGGGGAAAAGAGAAAAAATACCAAGCCTGGGAATTAAACCCTGCCTGACTTTACACCTTGCTAAAATACTGTCTGCTATAATTTAAAAAAATAACAGTTAATCGTTTCTTGTGTTGCTGTTTCTTTAAAGTAGCAGGTTGGCTCATTAGCGGTTGTCATTGTGAATCATAGGGAGCAGGCTACTCCACATGCATACAATAAGACTGTGACATCAGGACCGTCAACTTAATGGATGCATGCAGGTGTTGAATTTGTTGTTAAAGAATTGTTTATTGAATAGTGTTTCACTGTCATTTGTATCACAATGTTGTCAGAGATAGATTCTACTGTAGCTTATAGGCCATTTTTGATTGGATGATTTTGAAGGTGAACATGCATTGATGAATTGAATGCAGGAGACGTACAGTAGTTTGGAGGTGCATTTCATTATCAGTGATGCAAATAGGAGGAATGTTTTAGTACAGTTTCCTATTTTCCACTTCTTATTCCAGTGACATCTGTGTTAGTCTGAGCAGATGTGTTGTGAAGTTGCTCAGTCAGTGCAAATATGCTCTGCGGTTACAAAGACAGTCGACCTGAATGACTTCATACTCTAGTCTGACATGCAGGTCTGCCAACTGCATGTGACATGAACAACTGATTCACATAATGTACACACTTAGACAATCAGATACTCATCTCTTGTTGTACATGTTGCAGCGCTACAAAGCTTAGATAGGCTTTTACTTTCCAAAGACAAAGAAAAGTTCTACACCATATTTTGAAATATGCATTAAGAAAATAGCACTGATCGTTAGGCTTATTCTAATGCAGGATTAAAAAAGCAATAAAAGTCCTTTTGTAATTTTTGTTATATCCTTTATATCTTAACAAATCCCTGTAGTATATTTTGGAGTGCAGCTTGCACTCTGCTTTCACATGAAGTGTAGGAATGTATGGTTGTCATTAAATCCAAAAGAAAAGCTCTCTAAGCTTTTTAGTCTTTATAAATAAACAAAATAAGCTCCATACACCTTCACCAGTGTATCTCTTTTAATAAATAATCAGCCTCAGCAGAAATAAGTATCTCCACTTTCTCTGAGCCGTATTGTTTTCCTCTGAAACTCAGCAAATGTATATCTCTTGTTTGCCTGGGTTTCATTCATAATTTTACTACACTAGTGACTTTTTCACTCTGAGGGATCTGTGTAACATGACACTAAAGAAGCTTATAAAATATTAACTCGGACACAAATAATTCATCAATCTGCTATGAGGACACGGGCAAAGCAGTCAGACTGATTTTCAAAACAAAAAAAAACATTTCACATGTCTTACACACTCTGCTCTGTTTCTTATCACATGGAAACATGTAGTAGAGATAGTGGTTCTAGACAGTGTTTACTTAGAAAGACAGAACAGGACCTCCACTAGGATAAAGGACTTAGTGTATTTGCAACCACATCTTTGTAAAGTGTTTTGTCACTTAATTAAACACTATTTGAATTCCCTTAGAGGCAGATTTCATGTCCCCTCAGCTTAGTACTACTACTGAGAATTGATTCAATAGTAGTAGTTCACTAGTAGTTCAGTAGTAGTTATAAAGCAGACTCCTGGTTAATGACTTGTCAGCATAGGAGTTGTAGATGTTTACACAGCGATGGTGTGTGTGTAAATGGAAGTCATATGTTACCTAGCCTTGAGCCATTTGTTCAGTCACGCAAAGAGCAGCCAAACCACTATATGACCTTTTGTACATATTGTTGTGCAAATAAAGCAAGTCAAATACTTTATTTTTGGAGTTGAAACGATTCCCCATATATCATTTGCAAATGTTCAACTTTTGCTGCTGTTGATTTGAGTTTTTTTAGTTTAACTAGCCTCAGTTCTCAAGAAGAGCCGCAACAATGTGTCGATTGGTCGATGAGTAAAATAATGGCCAACTAGTTCGATAAACTATTTGCTGTTGAAGTCTTTTTTGATGCAATATATGCATTTTTCAGTTTTTTCTGTCTTTTTTAGATGATATTTAACTGAAAATCTTTGGGGTTTTTAACTGTCTTATACAGTCTGGTTTTTGAGGGACAAGAAAGACATCACCTCATACTTTGATGTTTTATACACCAATCGATTCATTGATTGATAAAAATCTGAAAAATAAATATCAGACAGAATAATGTAGTGAAAATAATCATTTTCAGGTGTTTAAATTAATGTCAATAATGTAATTAGACAGATTCAAATTCTAACAACGCTTAAAGTTTGAAAGCCAATTTTGAACTATCATCCAGATCTTGCTTTTTTAAGAGACTCAATAAATCAAGGTCGAAGTGTTGCATTTCAGTCTATTGAGCTTCACAAACAGAAATGATAACCTGTGGAGTAAGAATGCGACCTGTTGGTGTGAACCCAGCGCAGTGGTTAATATTTCACGAAGCTCGTTCTGAGTCACGTTACACAGATCCCCTGTGTTTGAAAGGAGCGATCCTGGGAAACGTGAATCTCTAAACTGAATGTAAAAGATTTGCCGGCTGGCCTCCAGATCACCCAGCGTTTCAACGTGTTAACCATTTGTTTTGTAAATCTGATTATTGGCAACTTGGAAAATGAATATTTGAATATTAAAAAATATGAAATAGTTACAATTTGCAAATTAAGGTTGAATGACCACATAGGTCTTCAAAATAGCTGGCTTTGTCAAATTGTTTTGACTTTGACTTGTGAAATGATATTGCCTTTATATTGTAAACCAACTGGACCTATGTGTTCAGAATGAGTGTAATCTAATAGTTAGTCATCATTTATTACAGTTTTTATTTAGTGCAAAACAGAGTTAACCTGGACAGTGGCAAAATTATTTCATAATATTCTTATCCTTTTTAAGGTATATTTCCTCAAATCACTTAAATGTATTATTATTTATTCATTCCTGCATGCCAACTGCTTAGTGAAGCTGGATATTAGCATGACATAGACCGGTTTTTGTGACAGTATTTGTAGAAAACAGCCCTGTATTTACTGTGAATCACAGATGGCTTCAAACACCAGGTTTCTGTTTTTACTCCATGTTAATGTTACAACAGGTTGCTTAGCAACCTCCCCTCTTCCGCTTTCTCCATCTGCTGCCATTGGCTGAAGTGGTTGGTGAAGTGAAGTGTTATGCTTTGGCTTTTCAAGGTCTGTGGCACAAAGAAAGCCCCCCCGATCATGGTGTAAACAAGGCAGTGAAAAGACAATTTATGCTTTAATGATGGATTAAGCTGCACTCTTCATCACCAACACCACATCTCCACCTCCCCCCCTCTCCCCTGTGTTACATCTCAGCAACTGGTGGAAAACAACACTATGGCGGCAGTTGTTGGAAGATATTTAATATAACCGGCATGCGTCCTCCTCACTCATCATCACACAAACAAAACCGTAATGATCAAGCGACAGTGACGCAAATAATGTTTAGAAAATCACTCACTACAAAATGTGATAAACAATAATGAAACTCTAATAAGAGTGCCGCCACCTACAGAGCCCGGCTGTTATCGACGGAGCTGCCTGTTGTGTTTGTGTCTGGGTGTGACGGGTGGAGTCAGACTGGGCAGGCATTCCAGAAATAGACGTATGATGGAGTCCTGCCGCACGCTCATTTCACACGAGGATACCTTCATAGCACTTAAAATTGCTGGATTATCACATTGCTGTTTATATTCACATTTAGCCGCCATATCCTATGACTCAATTATCAAGTAGTCTTGTCACATTGGCGCTTGGAGAGTTATATTAGGGAGCACACTCGAGCGGCCTGTCCATGTCGAAGTCAAAACATCCAGCAGCAATGAGGAAACACTTTGAGCGGGATTGTCATCGCCGCTCACCTAATGTGCGGTGCGGCCCGTTGTCTAAGCCAGGAGGAATCCTATGTGCACAGCTGAGCTCGTTATCTAGTGATGACATTAAAGCATCATGAGTGACTGTTACTCACATCTGCAAATAGAGCACTCACGATAATAGCTTCACAACACGATTATGGCGGACAAAATAATTCAAGAGAACGGTATTATCACAATGTCTTTAGAAGTCTTTTCAAAGATTATATTTATAATGCCAAAATGATCTTTAACTTTGGTTATACAGCCATTTCTTATGCTTCCATGCCTGCACCAGATGTATCAGCAGACATAGCATTTTAAGGTTGTCCTTTAAGTACGAATGTCGTGATATCCCATCAACCTCTTAAGAATATCTTCAAAGTAAGATATGGACTCAAGGATGACCTGAATTGAATTTGATGGTCAAAGGTCAAAGGGTCAAAGTCACTGCGACATAACAAAAACATTATGGGCCTTTAAACAAGAATTGAAATGCCATTAAAGACCATTTCCAATTGCAATTGCCAAATTATTTCACCAGAATGAAGTGTAGTTTGGGGGAGTGTGAGTCTGTAACCATACCTGTACAGGAGCCTGCAAAAACGATTCATTAAAAGCATGTTTTCTCATTTTTTTAAATATTAAATGGCAGTGTATAATCTCAATTCCATTATTGATATATTACCATTATTGTGGATTTCTTTCCCAAATGTATCACTTACTGCATAGTGCATACTAGTTAAATATCCCCATTTGCTCATAAGCTTCTCTGAATTTCGTATTGCTCCTACCAAGAAAACGACCAAAAGCCCCTTAAA